GTACTTTTTTCTTTTCTTATATATATATATATATATGTGTGTGTGTGTGTATATATATATATATATGTGCTATGTTTGTCCTTTTTGTGTGTGTGTAAAACTTTAAAATTACGCTAATAAATGAAAGAAAGGAGAGGCTTTGGTGGGAGCAGGTCCGCTGATGGAAAAGGAAGCACCAGTTGCCGTCTGAATCAGACGTTGAGGCAGACGGACAAAGAGGAAAAGTTATCACTCCAAGGACCCCATGGGGGCAATACAGCAAATATATTAAATAAACCTAGAAGCGAAACAAAAACAGACAGGGCATTACAATATGGAACCCTCTCCCTCTGCAACTCCCCTCCTCTCCCGTTTTCTCCTCTGGAAATGCCTGTGTTGAAGTGCCAGATGAGAAGCCTTGGAGGGCTTTTGACCTCTGTTTTTTCCCCTGGACAGCTTGAGCCAGAGCAGAGATTTGCATGATTTCTACCCTGGGAAATTTGGGCTGGCCAGGAGGATCCTGGGATGATCAGAGCCCTCGTCATGCTAAGCATGAGAATGCTAATCCCAAGACACTGCCTGGTGCCCCATGTCCCCATCTCCCAAAACACCAGGAAATAGAAACCCATCGTCTCCCTCTCCTGAGGCAAGGGGAAGTGTATGTGGAGTGAGGGGGAGTGAATGTGAAGCGGGCCACGGCAGAGCTGGAACTGCTGAGTCAGGGGGCAAGGCTTTCCCTGTTGGCCTGTGCTGCCTGTCTACAAATTCAGCACCCCCAGGTCCACACCCTGGCTACTCTTTCTTTTCTGCACCTTTCCCTCTCTCGACAGGGAACCAGGGCTTATTCTCCTTTCCCTTGTACCAGTGAAATTCTTCTCATGGCAAGGGAATTATTCCTGTTTACACAAGTCAGGGGGAGAAGAATCAGACCCTGGGCTGACACAGTCCAGACCTCTCGCCAGATTCCAGTTCTCCTTTCCCCTGGTATGACCTTTCTTATGCACACAGGCTTCACGCTTGGAGAGAGGAGAACCAAAAGCGTTGCCGCTTTTCAGCCTTTCTGCCAACTCGACTAATGAAATAAAAGGAGAAGAGATCCCCAGAGCAACATTAATTCTCTGCTTTCAACAGAGTATCAATAAAGAAAGAACAGGAATTGCTCCGCAGAAGAGATGAATTACAGAGCCTGAGGGGATTTGGGTGTAAAGAGAAGTCAGGCTCACGCTCTGCCTATAAAGGAGGTAGAGAAAGGAGAGGACAGGGCTCGAGAGCAAGCAGGGTTGCGGCATCATCCTTCTACCTCTGCCAAGAGCCAAAAAGCCATAAAGAGGATGCACAGGTTGGGTTCCAGCCTAGTCCTTCTCCCTCCCTCAACTTGTGTTTTATCATATCCAGGCATCTCAGTAGCCCCACACTGAATGAGTGGTTGGTACAGTGGGACAGGTCCAAAATGCTTGGGCAGAACTGTGGCCCGAGAGAATATCTCTCCTAGCTGGAAAAGTTGAAAAACATCTCTCCTTGCTCTTACCTGCCTTGTGCTCGCTCTCCCCTTCCAGCACTTCTATGCTACGAGGATTTCTTTCAGCACTTTCTTATCGTTGACATGCTTGTACTTCCTATGTTTCCTCTTCTGCGCCGGCGGGCGGCGTACCCCCTGAGACAGCGGCTGTGGTGAATGACGGCGACAAGCCTGTCAAAAACAGAGGGGAGAGTGTCTGTACAGCGAGGGCAGCTGCGCCGTGTTGAAATACCTTTCCCCACACGCTGTCAACAAAGAGCTCTACAACATGAGGGTCACAAGGCCTCCTTCTTCTGTTCTCCATGGTCTGCTCTCTCCTTTTCCCCATGATGCTCTTCCTCTCACTCCTCACCTTCCCCTCCTTCCTTTCTCTCAGTGTCAGCCCCTTGATGGCAGGCAGACATCCTGGGAAAGGTCCCTTGGCTGGCATAAACCAGCAAGAGCCCATGGGATTTGGGAGCTCAGCAGATTGAAACCAGCGGAGGGCTCTTCCCTCCCTCCCCAGTCTCTTCTCATGCCTCCCCCCACTCTACCAATGCCAAGATCCTTACGTCTTTGCTCACGTGGCCCTGGCCGGCTGGTCCTGGGGGGCTGACGGAACACTGCTTCACACCGACACTGCACATGGTCCTCCAAAGGCACAACGACTTTTTTGAATTTTGGCTTCCTCTGGACAAATTCAATCTTGTTCACCTATTTGGAAGAGAGAGGCAAGCAAAAGATGAATACAGCTGCAGCTCTCCCTCTGTAAAAATAATCAGTGTTGGTATGCTTCAGCACTGGCTTTCTTCCTAAAGGGTCAGAAGGCAGTTTACGGAGCACGGTTCAAATTCAGGGGTGGTGTGTACGGGAGCTAATTCTGCACACACCGGCAGAGCAGACCTAGACCAGGCAAGTTTGGATGTGAATTGGTTGTTTCTCCTGTTCCTAACTATCGCTGCTGCTTAAGCAGGAGGACTGGTTTATCACAGAGAAACATGGGATGTGAGGAACACGCCAGCCTGTTTCTGACAGCTGTGAAGGCTGGGGGCAACCAGAATTAATTCCCACAGGATCTTGCATGAAGGGCGAAAGGAGCAAAACCCAGGCCCGATGCAAGCAAGCACAGCTTCCCCAGCTCTGCTGAGGCCTGTCTGAATTTGTCTTCAGCTCCTTAATAACTGGCAGGGCTGAAGCCCTCAGCTCCGCATTGCACAGGAGAGGCAGCACTCTGGAAATTCCCTCGGACTCTCCACCAGTGCTGACTCAGAGGCAAGGCTCACTGCTCCGCATCCCTCCACAGGTCACCAGCTTCCTAGGGGGGGGTGGTCCTCCCACCCCAGGAGTGGCCGGGCCTGACCCTACTCTGCTTATCTAACCCGACCGCAGAGCCTGAAGTGCTCCGCAAGCTATAAATACTCGTTCTGCCGCACGTCGGGGATTGAATTCCTCCAAACCCACTGCCCCCAGCAGCATCCCTCAGCCAGCGCTGCAGCAGCCAGGCTGTTTATCTTTCCTTGAAAGCCCACTCCACACGCTTCAGACCACACGCTGCTCACTAGACAAACACTTCCAGCCAAACAATAGAGAGACCTCTGTCCTCAAAGAAACCATTTCCAGGTCACTTTTTCAGACTGGCTTTTGACCTCTCACTTGTTTTTTCCACAAAAACAACTCCTGCTCCCCCCTATTTTTCCCCTCATTCGGCCTGGCTCTTCTGAGAAAGGAATTTCCTGATGAAAAGGGCTGTGTGAATACAACCTCTCCTAGCCAACCTCTGCCGCCTGCCTGGGGGAGTCTCTCAGGGCTCAGGCAGAGGATTAGTAAGGGATGAGTATTATTTTTAAACAAGCTGTCTGGGAGGAAGCTGTGAGGAGATCGCTGGTAGCTGTGAGCAAGGCAGGCTCAGAGCAAGAGGTTAGCCCTCAGGTGTCTGCTTGCTGCTGGAGCGGGTCAGGAGGTAACTGCGGGGCTGAGGAAGAGGAGGAGGTGCTCCAGTGTGGGTCTGAAGAATAAACTGCAGCAGCAGCAGGGGGATGGAACACTGACACTGCAAGCCCTCCTTTTTGCATCAAAACCAGCTCCTGCAATGAAGGCGTCCTGTTTCTTCTGCTCAAACACAGCAGACGAGGCTGCCTCCAGCCACAGAAACAGGAGGTGCAGCTGGGGATGGTGCCCTGTGACAGTCCCCAGATGCTGGACAGCACCAGCCCTCTGAGCAGCTGGCATGGATGGACATCACCCTGCCAGAAGCTGCAGCGCTTTGTGGTTAACACAGAAGATGTGGCTGCAATGGGGGCGCAAGGGAACAGGCACCTGTGGGAGCCTCATACCTGAGACCTGCTGTGGTTTTGGTTTTGGGGGTAGGGGTGGAGGTGAGCTATGCGAGGAAGGAGGAGAGGGAGGCATCTCCCTTACCTGGACGTGCCGGACGCGGATCTGCGTGGGGCGGCACTGCACATTGCGGTTGTTGCAACAGCCGGAGCAGCGCTGCACCTCCACGCAGGGCGGCCACACCACGAAGTTGGCGTTGGTGCTGTCCACCATATTGCGGGAGATTTCAAAGACCACCACCCGCGTCTTGCACTCGGCGAGGACAGCTGGTTCTGCGGCTGGCAAAGCATCTGCGGAGGGCCCAGAGAAGAAGGGGAGATGAAACGGGCTCTGCAGCTGTCACCAATCTGCTGCAGCCACCTCCATGGGAAGAGAAAGACCCCCTATGGCTCTCACGCACATATCTTTTTCTCCTTCTCCCACTCCTCCAGCTTCCTCCCTGGACAGAGCTGCTCCCTGTGGGGGAGCCCCCAGTAAAAAGATGCTTCTTACTGCAGCAGCAGTCCTAGGCAGGAGAGGACACTTCTTTAGAGCAAACCAGCAAAGCAGAGCAGCTTGCAGAGCTCCAGACTTCCTCTCTTGCCCTCCTGGAGCTCCTACGTGAGGCCCAGACCCTCCTTCTTGTCTGTCTGCACTACATCCATGTGCACTATAGCCTCTAACCCTACACAGGTATCTCAGACATGCATCTGCACCCACCCCACAGCCCCTCAGGAGAGTGCCCCAACAAAGTGCAACACCCTTGACTCACCAAGGCTTCGTCGCTCTCGAGACAGGGCCACAGAGTTTTGGCCAGGCTGAGTTGCATTCAGGTCCAGGTTTGAGCTATCCTCCTCTGCAAAGGGAAAGACAAGACCTAATAGCACCAGGTAGGGGCAGGAGCAGGCAGCAGGCACTTGTGCTCTGCTCAGCAGGCAAAGGGCAGAGATTTGGGATAAGTTGCACTCCCAGCAGGTCTGGGAGAGGAAAACTCCAGCTCAAGAATGGCAAGGCCTACAGCAGGGCTTTCTGGTGTCAGAGAGGAGCAGCAGAGGAATTTAAATCACTTGGCTGAGATCAGGATACAGCAAGGTGGATCAAAGACCAGACAGGACCTGGAGAAAGTCTGGGATATGACACTGAGGTGCCATGCTTGGATGGCTTGGGACTGGGAGAGTCGGCGTGTGAGGGGGCAGGTGAAGGGGATGATGTGTGGGAGGTGGGGTGCTTGCTTTCGATCTTCCTGTATTAGAGTCAGTTTTATGACAGAAGAACAGAAAAACAAAGTTGAAACGGCTTTTCCTCTAAGGTAAGCTGCAGGATCTAAAGGCCAGCGATGGGAGAGGAAGGCAGATAGCATTCAGGCCAGCCCTGAGCAGTTCCCTCCCACCCCACTGCTTTTTCCCATAGGAAGCGCTGAATGGAGAAATGCCCGCAGTCCCCACGGAGCACTCCAAGACGCAGCCCCTCCTGAGCTGTGGACAATGGCCGCGCTCACAGATAGCTCCCACCCAGCCGCAGCTCTTTCCTTCACCGACCCACTTTAGCAGCCGAAGGAAGCTGAATGGGCGTCAGCAGCAAGGGAGCAATTTTCTTACAGTGAATTTGAGGCCAGGGGAAGATCTCTGTTTATCAGATGTGCGGTGGAGCAGTCTTCCCAAACCTATCATGTCCCATCCCTCTTCCTCAGTCCTGTCCCAGCGTAGCCCCCTCTGATAAGGGGGAGCAGAGACATCGCTCTCTGCTCAGCTCTGAAGCAACTGCTGAAGGATTTGGGATGGGGAGATGACCCCCACTATACACATCTCTCTTGTTGGGTCTACATTACTGTGTAAGGTCAGGAGAGCAACATCTCAGCTCATCTGCCTCCTGGAGCTGCTAATCCTGGATCCCTGCGCAGTCAGTGAAGGGCAGCAGCTGGGACCCATACAGGGTACATGGACAAGCACAGGGAATAGCTCCAGCCCCTTTGAGATTATTTTGCTAATATACTCATTTGCTAATATGAGGCAAGCCAATGGTGATGCCCTTTGGTCACTATCTGGGAGCAGATGAGAGCCAGAGGGTGCAACGAAGCGACAGCTTCACAGTACTGTTTTCTGTTGCCCTGACTGGGACCTGAAGTGGAACCAGTGACCCAAACCTCAACAGCCTTTTCTCTCTCTGCATCTCTACTCTGGGCTTTCTCAGCTAACAGGAGAAGCCAATTCTATTTCTTAACCATGAGGACAGTTAGTAACTGTGATAGAGATGTGTCTGTTCCTTAGACACCGGGACATGACAGACTGCACGGATCTTCGCAGCCGCTCCTTCCCCACCCCTCCATCCTGCGCCGCCTGGCATTTTATCAAGCAAGGGTGGGGGTGAGGTTGAGTGGATAAGGGTGGGGGGGAGGAATAGCACCAACTGTTGACTCAAAACAAATCTCCTATTGAAAACCAGGGCCCTCCCTCCTCCAGGTTGTCCTTCTACAGCACTGAAGAGGGTTGGGACAGGAGGGGACCAGCCTGGGACAATCCAGCACAGCTAATTTTGGAAGTTGCCCCATTGTGTGGCTGGTGGACGAGAAGGAGGGGACTGGTGAGGGCAGGGAGCGGCCGTGGCGGTGGTGGGGAGCCTCGTCGCCTCTTTCTAAGGCAAACAATAGCTGAACGCAGCTGGTGCCCTCCCCCTTGCTTTCCCCCCCCCTGCCCCTCCAGGGCCGTTTTGAAAGGCAGCGGGAATGCTTTTGAGACTGCGCCAGTGGTTGGACTGGCATAGGAAACAAAAGCAGGAAATTCTGTTCCCCTGTAGATAGTGTCTCGGCAAGGATTACAAAGCTCCAAACAGACAAAACACGAGAGAGAAGGCGAGCTGGGGGGGCCGGGGGATGACGGGCGGGAGCAGGGTTAGAATAGAAAGGAATTTGCTCTGAAGAGACCGTTTATAAATAAATTCCTGGGCCAGCCCCGCCGCCGCGGCGCGTGCTCCAATTCCCACACGTGCCGACCCTTCCACGCTTCGGTGCTCGCTGCGCTCAGCCCCGGCCAAGTGACCCCATGGCGCTGCAGCCCCTGGAGCTCTTATCTACGGGTACGAGGGGAAGCGCCGCTACCCTGGCTTAGCCTCTGTCCCTTCCCTCACCCGTGGACACGTGCTTTGCTGCTCCTACCTCTGGGAGCCTGTGGCCGTTTGAGGTTGCTAAAGCTGAGAACCCACTCAGCCCTTTCCTCCTCTACCACCCCATTTTCACCTGCCATTTCTCCACCTGTCATTTCTCCACCTCCTAAACTGATCCTTGGCCAATTCAAGCCCGGCTGTCTTGTCCCTCTCCCAGGGTGAAAAGCGCTTACCTCAGTTCCTTGCACTCACCTTGCCCATCTCCTATAATTTTTGGAAGCCAGTGTCCCTTTATAGACCAGGCAGTTAGGAGAAGGTCTCAAAAGGCATCTAGTTGCCTAACTCCCACATGTTTCAGGAGAGCCGGGTGTGTAAATAGCCAGGTCTTGGCACCCGAATGGTTCCTATAGTTATAGTGGGTTCTGTTGATAGTGTGCCTGCTGGAAAACAGAATATCCCCTCCATCCCTCCCAAAGAGTTGAGAAAAAAGAGAAGCATGTTTGGTGAAGAGGAGATTTACCTACGGAGTCTATCCGCAGGGCACGCTGGAGGTCGCTGATGGAGCGCACTGAGCCGCCACCCAAAATCTCATAAATGTCTTCGGGTATGGGGTCCCCCTGCCAGGTGATAAAAAGAAAAGAAGGGGAAAAATGAGCATTAGAAGGGTGATCAGCAACTGCTGCGTCACACTGTGGGAGTTGGGGGAATTGAAGGAGCACAGAGGAGGTACAGCAGAACCAATGAAACACAAAGACATGACCTCATGAAGGCATGAACCCGAAACCTGAGCAAAAGCCAGAGAGCCCCTCATGCTGCCTCTCACAAAGCAATCGAGAGACTCAAAAAACCGAAAACCACCTGGGCCACACAGCAGAGCCCCCAGCGCTACGCAAGCAGCCAGCAGAACTTCCTTCTCCGGTGCCGTACGACTTCTCCAGGTGGCCTCTCGTTCCCGCTGCCTGCAGTGAGGGCGTTTTAACAGATTTCCCCTACGCTATCAGATAAAAACCTTCCCAATATTTCCCTCTGTTATGAAACTCCCTCACGGGCTTCGTGAGATAGCGTGTGTGTGTGCGTGTGTGCGCGCGTGTGTTTCCAAACCACAGCGGCCCAATAATATACACCACTTGCATACTCTTTTTTTTTTTTATGGAGAGGAAGATTGACCTTCGCAGCTGACTGCTCCGGCCTGAGTCTGCGGTGAAGCCACCGACACTGCAGGGAGGACATGAAAGGCTGCTGGGGATGGCGGGGTGAGGAGCCGATTCGGATGAGAAAACACATGGGAGTTTGGATGTCACTGCACACTGGCGCCAAAAAACTTGGAGTAACCGCATTTATAGACATCAGACGATGATGGCCCCAAGTCAGGGTTTGTGCAGGCAGGTGCAACGCCATCAGTCTCTTGGGAATTTTCCTCTGGCACCAGGCTTGAATGGGCCCCAGTGACAGCACTTAACAAGACTACAAAGGAGCGGTGTGGGAAAGCAAGCACTGATTAAAAGATACTTCCGAAAGATAGGAAAAGGAGACGGGGGAAAGTGCTGGCCAAAGTGTTTGCTTAGCTCCTAGCTCTCTTCATTCAGGGCTACTCATGCGGAAAAGCTGCTCTTTCAGCCGGGTGCTGGATGCCGCCTGAGCCACAGCCCTACACATGCCCCTGTAACTGAGAGGAGGACTTGGCTCGTGCGCTTGTGAAGCGCAGGGATATTCGTGTGGGTTTTTCGGGGCAGTTAGTGGCATGCGTGTGGTCCTTCCAGCGCACAGCTACTCCCTCCCTGCCTGCGTTCGGAGCTGAACGTTTCCCTTTCGCTTGGGGTCAATGAAAACTGCCAGGCAGGTGGTTAAACGTTGGCTTTTAAACCTTGAGAGCTTTAGCTCAAACCTGCAGCCACATGGCTGGCTGAGCCTGGCACACTCCCACATGTGCTGGTCCCTTGGCCACCCGCTCTTTGCCTTGACTAAGGTGGCAATAGGGGTGCTCCCTCCTCAGCCCTGCCAGCCCACCCTCTGATATCGTCCCTTAAATTAGGACGCAGTGGCTGAAAGGCTGCTGCAGCCCAAGTCACAGGGCAGAAACCTCCTGGGGTGGCTGCAGAGCAGACAACACCAGCGTCGTAAACCTCCACCGCCTCTCTGCCTGGCTCCGTCCCTGTCACTGTCACATCTCACCACTGATCTGGCTGTGCGCCTGCAGCAAAAAGCAGATTTTACATCCCCGGGCATTACTTCCTCAGTCTCTGAGGGAGAAGGAAGCAGCATCCGTGATGAGCGCACAGCGAGAGAGAGACTTGGATAATTCAGGGCTCGCTGAATAGCTGCGAAATGAAGATGACTTCTGACAACTCCTGCCGTGTGAGGAAAAGAGGGACCAACAGCCCAGCGCTGGAGAGGCTCTGCAGCACTTCCCTGCCTTGCGCCACACACGGCGCTTACTGGAAAAAGGATCATTTGCAATTCCCAGTACTCGCAGGCAGAGCTCAGTGCTGGGCAGGGAAATTGCAGGCTTTTAACGTTTGCACCTGTCAAGCCAAATGCATTTGTGCGTGAATGCTGCTGCTGTTGCTGCTCTGCACGGATGCCCCGGTCCTTCCTGACACTTAATCGTGTAGGAAATGAGACTTTATTTTAAACACCGGCACTCGCTAGGGGAGAGCGTGGGCAGGTGTTACGAGACTGGGTGACTTTGGAGGCGGGCTGGGAGGTGTCACCTTGCTCACAGCGCAGGCGGGACAGATAAGAATCAGGGACTGCAAATGCAGGCCCTCGGGTGCCGGATTGCTGGGGACTGCCTGGAGGAACCAGCCCCACTCGTAGCAGCAGTTTTAGGTTGCCAATATTTTCTCGTGACAGATACTATCAGCATGGCCGTGGTGTATCACCAGCCCACATGGCTTATCATCCTGTCCTCCTCTCCAAGGTTTGTGAGGCAGCTCTGCCAGTGACAACCGCAAGCCTGTGAAGCTCCTTACGTTCCTACAGTGCTGCGGAACCACAGCCAAGGCTCTCCCAAAAGACCTGAGCTGCATGGCTTGGACTTGCTCCCTTTGGAGTCTGTGATTGGGAACAGCCACACCTCTGCCCCTCCATCCCAGCCCTGTGCCTGGGAGGCTTTGAGATCAGGGCATTTGGTAGGGTCAGAACATAGGGAAGCAGAGGTCCACAAGTCACCTCTACCTGATCTCATGGGGTCAGAAGGTGGAAGAGCATTGCAGGAGGTGGGGTCCCCAGCAGACTTCCCCATGCAGCTGGTGCTTTTCCTGCTTAGCAACTCCTCTGGAGTTATTTGTCTAACACAGGTTAACGATCTCCTTTTCTGGCTGCGCGGCAGATCAAAGAAGACTTTTGTCTCAATGGACTCCTGGCTGGCTTTCAAGTGCTCCAAGGCCAGGCCTTGTATTCCTGTGAGGCCCTGAATTCCTAGAAGAAAGTAAACTTGTTCTTCTCTCCCTCCCCTTGTCCCCAGTGCCTGGCTCTCCCCCCAGATCACAGGGGCACCCCCCACTTTGCTAGTCCCCTGGTAGGGATGTCCCCTCCCCTTGTCCCGGCTGCTAGCGTTGGTAGGGCGAGAGCCAGGGCACATTTGGCCCAAGGCAGGAAAGCTCCTGGGCAGGGGCCCTGCCCACCCAGTGGCCACTTCACGCTGCGGCCATGACGCCAGGGCCTCTGGGTGCGTCAGCTCTGCTGCCCTCCTCCCCAGACGTCAGCAGCACTGTTTGGCCGCTGAAAACCAATGCAGGTGCAGCAATGCCCTGTAAACAGGACATTCTCCCATCCCTGCTCCCCATACACACACTGTCCCAAAATCAGCCTTCTCCCTAACCCAACCGCCTCTGGATCTTTCTGCCAAGAAAGATGCTCCTGAGCAGCAGGGATGCTGCAAGGTGGTGCAGGGAATATGTAGGGCTGTGCTTCAGGCTATTCACAGGCCAGGGTTTCCGAGTCTTGCCTGAAGGTGCATCTCCTTCGGTAGCACAGCAGATACAGAGGAGGAGGAGGGAGCAAGGGTTGTGCAACTGGCAGGAAAAGCAGACCCTCAGGGCTCAAAGACACCAGCCAAGGACACTCCCAAGGTGAGGACTCCTCCAGTCCTGCTTTTTTTGGGTGGTGTGACTACACGCCCGCATGTGACTGCAGTTGGAAGGACAGCAGGGTAGCAGCACCACCAGCCCAGGACAGGGAAGCAAGCAGCTATCTGCTCCTCTGCTCGGGAGAGGAGGACTTTTCCAGGCACCTCCATGCTGACCGCGATAGGGGATCTTGGCAGCAGGGTCTCAAGTGATCAGGCAAGGAAAAAAAACCCCAAACAAGCAGCATTTTTTCATTCCCTCTGAAGCTGACATGAGGACCCCGAGGGAAGACTCCACCACATTCCCTGGCAAAGGGCAAGACCAGCAGCACCTGCCACCAGCCCACTGAACCCCAAAGGCTCTTGCTCCCCTGGCACAGGGCTACCACCCCTCCAGCACCACTCCCGGATACAGGGGGACCCTGACACCCGCCTGCCAGAGGACCACACGTCAGGCACAACCCTTCTCACATGAGCCCCTTCCACGTGGGACGGTGGCTTATGTTTTCCTCCCTTAAAAGCATCAAACTCAACGTTTGATCTAGCCCACATTCCTAAAATACAGCCAGACCTACCCACCCTTTTCCCATTTCAAGGGGGACTCCGATGCCCCACCCTGCTCCTCCACGCTGCCCCCACGCCTTCCCTGCAAGAGCTGGAGGCAATTCCACCCCCGGGGCCGGTTGGGTACCGGCAGCAGCGCTGGAAACAGCGCAGGAGCCACTGTCATTCTCTCCTGCTGCTGCGCATCAGCTGATGGTGACAGGGAGGCAAGGACGGCTCGCCTGGCTCAGCTCACCCCAGACTTGTCATCCATCCCGGCTGCCACTGCTTTGTCCTTGTCACAGCCTCCCCTCTTCTCCTCGGGAAGAGCCCCCCGCAGCCTTGCGCTAGGAAGACGCGACAGAGAGCTGGGCCGAGGTTATAAGCGAGCGCCCGGCCGCACCCCATTCCTCGGGAATTCCAGAAAGCGCTGCCAGTGGGGCTTCACCCCAGCACAACCGCGCTGGGCTCAGCCCATCGCTGTAAGTGTTGCAAGGCAACTATTACAGCCCCGGGGGGCAAATGCAAATCAGCTTAGCATCCTCACTTCCCAACTGGCAAATACCTTCCCTCTGAGGCACATACTCCCTCCTGCTGGAAGAGCTCCAGGGCCCTCCAGCTCCAGATGGGTGTGATCAAAGAGGGAGAAGGACTCGGGAGGCTCCATCTCCTGGCTCAGGCTGCTGATAAGGGGGAGCTACTGTTTCCCCTGCACTTTTTCTGGCAGGGCTGGGGAGGAGATGCAAGCCCTGTTCAGAGGATGGCTATGAGAGTCATGGTGTATGCGCCTGGTGCAGCGGTGCCACACACTGCCCTCAAATTAGATGTGGGGACTGGCTGCAGGCAGAAGCATCTACCCAAGCAGAAACCTTCTTGGTTCTCTGGTCATAAAATGACAGATACCACAATTCCTCCCAAGAAACCCAGAGCCAAGATTCCCAAACTCTAACTCTACTAGGTTGTCATAGAGCTGTGCAGTCTTTTAAGGGGATTACAGCACAGAATGACAGCCTCCTAGGATCAGATGCTTCCATCTTCACCCTTCCCCAGCGCCAACCATAGCTTATGTTTCACATT